AACAACCTATCTAAATACACACAAAACAAGATGAACTTAAAATATAAATTGATACAGGTGACTTTAAATCTTATTAAAATATGTAGAATGTGTTTGGCCCACACAAGGTTTGTGCTTGGGTTTATATGGCCCTCCTGTGTAATAAGGTTGGGCACCACTGGGCTAGTAATGGAAGCCAACAGGAAAAAAGCCCTGTTCAAAGAAAATGAGGGAGCTGAATTTTCAGTGCAAGGCTGCATCAGCATCTCAACAGCTTCCTGGTTTTAAAGTAATTTCTCTTTTCTAATTAGCTAAAACCATCATTTCTTTTGTTTTGACAGGTGCCCATGTAATGGATGTGATCTAAAACCACTAGCAGAAGACATCTAGGACATTTTACAGCAACTTAACCTCATCCTTCTTTCTTTACCGGCATGAAGGATTTCACTGTTTTGATTTTGGATTTCAGGGGAATCCAATTGCTTAATCACTTCTCGCCTCTTTGGAAGATTTCCTTCCTAGGAGGCAACCCAGGGTGCTTCTAATTAGCTTTGCATTTAGTTCAGTAAATTGTCCTTAAAAGAAATTCAGGTTTTTCTTTTTGTGCACAAAAGTATGAATAATAAAAACTGAAATCTAGATACATTTATGTCTTCATTTATGTCTACATTGTTGAATTTTTGCTTCGTTTATTGTCTTTACAAATAAACAACTGCTATGCTAAGTGTTTCTGATAATAATAATAAAAAAAAGCCAATGGCTTTTATTTTGTAGAGTTCCATATATGTTTCTGTGGAATTTCCAAAATGAATGTTCACAACACTTCTATGTAGCAGTTCAAAAGTATTCATCACACATTATTGGCCTGATAACTCATTTAAATGTTGAGGTCTTCCAAGAAAAAGAGACCTTCTGAAATAGATTTTTTGGTTAGTCTTCAAAGTCAACATTTGCATGAAGGACTTTCCTTTACCATGCTCAAATTATTTAACAAAGGTTAATTCAATAGCATATTCTTTTCATATTGACCCAACTCATAATTATTAAGGGAAAAGTAAAAGCTATCTTCCTAAACAGATCACTTTCATGAAGGCCACATGTAATTAAAAGCAAGTTTGGGTTTAGTTTTGGGGTTGGGTTTTTGTTTTTTGGGGGGGGTGGTTTTGTCTTTTTGGGGTGTCAACATGTTTTTCTTGCAGAGATTCAGAAACAAATTAGTTAAAGCAAGCATTTCTAGCTTGTAAGTCTGTTGTTTCATTTACATGTCTGACTGGCTCCCCACGAAAGGTGAAAGTTACTGCTAGTTTTACGGTTACTCTTTTCGTTACAAGTTATTCTGCTGATAATAAGACATACGAAGCAGTATATTGCTCTACTGACAGGTCCTGGCCAAGAACAACATAGGCAAGGAAAAAAGAATTTAAAAAAACCCTGCAAAATGTTTATGAATTCTAATCCTCAGCACATGAATAAATACAACTGACAAACTGCAGAGTACCTTACAAAGGCCTTTCCTGACCTTTCTAATTTGAGTTCAATTGCATGTGCAGTGTTTAGAAGCCAAAGTTGGTCTTGCCAATGTTTTTAAACTACGGTTGCAGTACGTATCATTATTTGTAAAAGTGAAGTGCCAGATAATAAGTTATAATTACCCTATTAATCACCTGTAAAGAATTGCATTCAAGGAAGAATGCATCTTCAAATTACAATAATTGGTGACTTAAAGGAACCAATTTTTTCTGTCCTTGACTGGAGGAGACTTTGTAGTTGGCTGTGCAAATTCAAGTATTCTGTTGAAATGAGGCAGTGTACACCATATATATGCTATGGTCCATATCCTCATCTAGTATTGATTGGCATAACTCCATGGAAGTCGATAGACCTGTGACAATTTACACAAGGTGAGTATCTGACCCTATATCTACATGCCCTTCCTTATCAGCCTACCCATCTCAGCAATACCTTTAGTCACAGATTTTCTGTGAGCAATTTCTTATGGTGGTGATGATGACATAGTTTCTGAATCTTCCATCTCCAAAATTAGCAGGGGCAGTATCTGCTCTCTCCTTGCTGTAACATTGTTCAGTTTTGGTTCAGAGATGTGTGTCTGCCTGTTTCCTGCATGTCCCTAGTTAGATTTAATACTTGGAAAATAAAATGCTTGTATTATAAATTATAATGTAAGTGTACATGAGAAGAATATTTATTGTGTGAGAGGTTTCAAGATCTTAATGTTCATGTCTTTCCTCTAGTGAATTATAATGCACATGCACTCACACTTATCTTCATCTTCCATTATTAAAAGTCCTTTCTTCCATTTATTACGCTATATTTTGCAAACAGATAAACCCATTGAATCACCCAGCCTACTTTATTGGCCTCAGATTACTGGTCCCCCTTAAGAGCCAATAGAGTTAGGCCAATATTGCAGTGCACTCACACATAACTCACAGTGACATACATTTCATGTCTGTTTCCAACTGTAGGTATTTTTCTGAGAATGCAGAGGGTCAGCAGCTTTAGAAGCAGTAGCAGGCGTGAGCCAACATTAAAACAAAACGAGGCCTTTCTCACAAAGAAGCAACATCACCAAATGGTCATCGTTGGCTGTGGAGAGTCGGGCCCCTGGCATAGTGATGGGAGTAGGGCGACCAGACAGCAAATGTGAAAAATCGGGACAGGGGGTGGGGGGCAATAGGAGCCTATATAAGAAAAAGACCCAAAAATTGGGACTGTCCCTATAAAATCAGGACATCTGGTCACCCTAGGTGGGAGCATAGTTTCATTAGCATTATTTGTCTCTGCACGAGGCTGCAAACCTCAGAGAGATATTACTTTAAATGTGTCCAGGCTAACCAGGGCCAAGCAGAAATCAGGCTGACACATCTCCAGTCTAAAGCTGGGCAAGGTTGCACTGTGAGAACATTGCTGTTGTGGCTGATTTTGAAGGAGGAGGATTCAGAGAATGTGCCACCATCACCATCACCACCACAGGAAACTGCTGTGTCAGATATGAAGTTCATGAATGATAGTATTGGTGAGGATGGGCAGGAGGGCAGGCTGATCAGGAGGGTCAACAAAATTTTATGACTAAGATTTTCAAACAGAGTACCTGAAGTTGGGCTTCTAAATTCATATTTCAGCACCCAAACAAGAGGCCTGACATTCAAAAGTGTTGTTCATCCTTCTCGAAAGAAGACACTGGATGTTCAGCACTTTTGAAAACTTTTCTTTATGGGCCATATCATAGATCACCCAGCATGAAACTCAAATCGGGCTGAATATTCTGCTATGGAATGCTTGTTCCCACAGAGTGCAGGGGGATGGGGAGAAGAGAGACCTTTCCAACAAGCCCAACCATCTTCACACAAGGGATCATTTTTCTTTGCTCACCCCTCTACGGTAGCACTCCCTTAATGTATTAATTCCTACACTGTCCCTGGTGCCTGCAAGGGAGAAGGCTGAGGAACTGTTTGGGGTTGCTCCGGGGAGTTTCCTTGCATTCATTTCGTGTTCCCAAGAAGCTCTATAGCTCCTTTTCCTGGAAGAGGTGCCTTGGACCTTCTGAATCAGGCTACTTGTTCTCAAGACAGGCCACTATGGTGCAGAGCCAGCGTATGCAGCCTGTTGGGGTGTACTATGTTGCCATGTAAACTAAGTTCAAGACTTGCAATATAGTACATTTTCCTTAACCTGCAAAGGAAAAAATAATGGGCTTGTGTCCTTTATTGCTTCTTTGTGATACATAAAGAAAGCCTGAAAGGTTTTGGTTCAAAGTAGGGGGGAAAGGCATAGGAGAAGGGGGCTTCCTGCTTGTTTTTAGCACTACAAATGTGTGTCTTGTCTACTTTGGAAGTTTCTATGGACACTGGAGAATTGGTGAAATTGAGACTTCACCAGAGCCAATAGATTGAAAAGTGAGCAGCTGAAAGGGGGAAAGAATTTTTAGACAAATTGTTTAAAACTGTTTTTTTTAACATGTATTCAACTCCCATCCTTGAAGAACATTTGAGAGAAAAGGTCTTTGTTATATTACTATTACTCTTTTGATTCAGGTTTGAGAACTCCCAATACACATCTCTGAGATGCTCAATAGGTTCTCCAGCAAAATTAGGGAAGGCCTCATGTGACATTTTTGTTGTCTATAAAATAAAACACAAGCAGAAAACAACCCCTTTCAGGCATTGTCTATGTATCATTAAAAAAAAGGCATAAAGGTCTTTAAAAAGTCCTTCATAGGTGATCTTATGGGTTGTAAGCAATTTCCACTATAATAAACAGCACTTCACATCAATCTAATAGGCCTGAAATGGTGCCCTAAAAAGGAATTAGGAGACTAGTAAGTAAGTACATTAAAAAATACTGATTACTGGGGTTGTCAGTTTCCAGTAAAAATAATGACTTGCAACACTGTTCCCCATAACAAGATTTCACAGACCATGGCATGAGAACATGTGACAGGGTCACAATTTAAGGTAAAGGTACGTTGCCTTTATGTATTTGATTTTTGTATGTGCCTTTAGCAGGTTTACCCTTAATCATTTTCACCACAGAGTGAACATATGCAGAGAGCAGAGATTTGCCCGTGGATGGTGGAAAGAAAAGTATCAAAATACTGCATGAAAATGTGCTTTTGCTATTTTCAGTCCAAGAACTTACCAGCAAACTTGAGAGAAGAGCCTGTTTTTCCACAATAGCTCGCTCAAAGACTTGATCAATGATGAGCATCAGTGACCCCCACTGATGTCAAGGCAGGTTCTCAGCAGGTTCTCAGCACAGCATATTGAGTCCCTCTCAGAATCAAGAATAGTTTTGCAAACCCTAGAGATTCATATAAACATCTGATGGTGGGGTGCTTATCAAAACCAAAATAACTTCCGACTCTTTTGCATTTTGCTCATTACTAAGACATGTGCAAAAGGCACTTATTTCTACACACCAGGAAAATTAAAAGAAACCAAAAAGACAGAACTTTTCGAAAACATGGATTGTCGTCTGAAACCCTTGGACTTGTCTTTTACCTCATTTCCTAGAAGGGCATTTACGCAGGCTTCAGATGCATCACAGATGGCAGTAAGGTCATGTCCTCCCTCCAGTGCCAGCACCACACGGCCAGCTGCTAGCTTCAGCAACTGCTGCGTTAGGTGACCAAAACCTAACATGCAAAGACAGTAGTGCCAATTAGTAAAGCAGAAAAGATTTTAATGACATATTTTACATCTGTTGTATCAGAAAGTAGGAAACATGAGGATATTGCACAAAAACATAAGCTCAGAACTATGGTCCATCTATATCAGTAACCTGGCTCCAACACTGGTCAGCCCTAAATACTACAGAAGAAAGTGTAACTGTGTACCTCTGTATTCACACCCTACTGCAATGATATTTGTACAAAATATGCATTGTGAGGTATCGTATGAAAGCTAACAACACACTGGTTATTAATATCATTGTAAAATGATACACATTCACATAGTTATATGTGAAGCTATGAATTCCCACTGTGTGACGTTACTAGAACATGTTTACAACCAGACAGGCTAGCCTAGGTAAAGGTGATAAACAGGTCTGTCCTAGAAAAGGCAATGCAGATTTACCCCAGTTTACATATTAGCAGTAAACAAAACCATCAAGCTAAACCAGTGGCATTTATCCTGATCCTGAACTCAAGAGGTAGAGATTTAATATGATTCCTGTACCCCGGAGAAACACAGGAGACTAAATCCCCAGGAGGCCTTCCTAACTTGTAAACATAGACATACCATTGGGGATATAAGGAACAAAGAGAAAATCCACCTTTATCCTTTACCAAAGGAGACAAATAACAACAACAACAACAACCCAACAACAAGTGATTTGAGCTCTGTGATGGATCCTGGCCAGGCTGGCTAGTAAAAGCTGAAAAAGAGGCTGTGGGTAAGAGAAACTATCTTGATCAAAGACTGTATCTTGCTAAATTAAGTTTTAGACTCTTAGATGCATTTTTTCACTTTGTAAAGGGACCAGCACAATGGGCCCTGAACTTAATGCACTATCACAGTGTAAAAAACAAATCATACTAGATGTTACATTTTGGTGTTTGTTAAAGTCATTGCACTAGCAACAATCTCTGGAATCAGGCTCAGTGCAGGCTGGAACTGTTCAAGGTTTACCAGACAGCTCTGCTGGTGTTCCTTAAGCATTGATCCACAGCACTCTGTATCCCTGTATCACAACCAGAGGCTGCCAATGGAGCTCCATTGGATCCAGCTTTATGAGGGTATTCAACTCAGGTAACACCACCACTTAAATTTCATCTGAGATTAAAGTTAGGTGAAATTCTTTCATTTTTGTTTCATAAATTTCATAAGAAGTTGGATAATTTCGGGAGGAAATTTTTGAAAATGGTTGTGTAATTTCCAAGGGCAGTTTTTGCTTTGGCTTGACCTCCCTTTCAATGGTTAATGGCAGGTAAGGACTTGAGACTTTTTAAGTTAAATTCACAACACACTTGCAGCCTGGGTCTCACACTTCTATCCACTCTGTTCTAGTTGCTCTTCTGACAGTAGTCCCTACCAGCTCCAGAGCACTGCGTGTCCCCTAGGTTTAATAAACAGATTGGCAAGACACCCAGGAGGTTTACGGCTCCAGAAAGACATTTTTACTGTGCTCCAGGGAGAACGGAATGTAGAAATTTGACATTTCAATAAATGAAAAAAATATTCTGGAGAAATGTTCTGAGGCACAGACTGAAGCCCTGACCCTGCAAGCATTTACACATATGCTTAAGAAGTAAGCACATGAGTAACCCCATTTACTTCAATGGGACATATAGTTAAGCGTGGTTATAACTGTTTGCAGGATCGGGTCCCTAATTATTCCACATTTTGCCTAATTGTTCACAAAATTCTACTTGCCACTTGTCCCAGGGCTGATCCCAGAACCGTTGGAGTGAAAGTTTAATTCTTTAAACCAACTCACAACCTAGTGTAGCTCTCTAAGAACTGCAGTTTTGACTCTACTGAAGCCACTACACTGTGGTTCAAATTACACATGGTTTGAAAAACAAGCAAAAATTTAAATCTCTCATTTAAGCTCAACCTTCACTTGTAGGGGGGAGGGAAGCTTTGCAAAAGCCCAAATTTAGTAGGATAATAAAAGTGAAGGAAGGAGTGGAATGAGGATAACCTTTGATCATTGGCCAGTTTCCATTTTCTTTTACCTAGAGGATTTATTTCTGTCTGCATACTACACATGTGATCTTCAGACTCATATCAAGACAGTGCCAGCAGCAGTACCATGAGATGAACACATAGCATTCAAAGGAAATGAAGAAGAATAAATAGTTCATGGGCTCCCCACATCCACATACTGTATAACTCTCCCCTCAGCTTTGTGAGAAGTGCGACAGGACTTTAAGATGCTATTATCCCTCACTTCACACAGCTTCTGTCAGGAAGGGAAAGTTCTACTGAATCCAATACCCTGCACAGTTTGAAAATAATATACGACCACAAGGGTCACTGCAGCCACAACATAATTTTCTGGCAATAAATTCAGAGTCTCTCCCAATAGATTTTTCTTCTTTTTGAAAATTGTACACAGTACTTGTGATAGAGATCATTACCAGGTTATTTCATCTGCTTGCTTTCCTCAAACTACTAGCAAATATCAATGTTACAATATTCACTACTGGCTTACTAGGAGATGTCTACACAATCAGCCATACAAGACATAACACTCCCAATACAATTCCAGGATGGAATTAATCAGACAATAAGAGCAAAAATCTGGTAACACGATAAAGGGTTGCCAAATGAAACCATTATGGAGGTGGCTTTTCTTCAGCACAATTACCCAGAAAGTCAAGATGACTTGCTGCAGGGAGAGGAAATGACTTTAGCCAACAGTACCAATGCTTCTTATGACTGAATGAGTTATGGAAATTCTTAACAAAGAAACTTAGCTCATGTGCCATTATAGCGAGCTTAGAAAGATATTAGCTTCCTAAAGGAAATTCCCTGAAGTACAGAAGTAACAACATGAAAATAAGGAATCCCAGGTTTTAAGATGGGCTGAAGTTTATGCCAAATAAATAAGGGGAGTGGGAGAGGAAGGGGAAACAAGCACTGTGAAAAGAAGCAGTCATCTCTCCTGGTATAATAAGACTGAGCATGTCTCTGAATTCCCAAGTGACCAGGTGCTTGGGGGAAGGAAGGGGTCAGACAACCATTTTTAATCCTAAACCTTCAGTCTCACCTGAATCCTTAAAAACCAGTAGCAAATTCAATCCTTGGCCTCTCTGCTAACATTGCTGACAATGGTGCCAGTTGTGATGGTGACTTCAAAAAACAGTTTCAGTTCGGCCTTGCCATACTGTAAAAGGGTCTGCTTTTGCTGTGGTGTACAAGATTTATAGTATGGTAGCATTTTATATGAACAGAACAGGTTCCGATAGAGGTTTAAAATGGAAACTCAAATTAAAAATATTAAGAGCTTGATTTGCAGTTTAGCCTTAAATGGACATCCTTTTTGAGCATAAAATTTGGTGGACAGAAATAATTGCAAGGACAACTCAGACCATTTAGATATCAACATACATAAACTGGTGGGTACAGTCCATTACTTCGATGCGTAAATGGCTTAATTGTGTCCACAATTACTTGCGCCCATGAGTAAGGGTATAAAAAGAGGATGTCATTTTGAAAACATCCAGCCCTATGGATGTTAAAAATTGATTGTTTCAAGTGGATAAATAATAAGGAAAAGATTAAACACAGACTGGTATTTCCCAAATGCTACTGTGAATGTGCTGCATCAGTACATTTCTTAATACTTACACAGCAGTAGCCAGATTTTTTTAAATAGTTTAATTTTTTTTGTGCCAGGAAACTGTGAGCATGGTTTTGTGCCAACAATTATTTTCAGGCACACTTTATATATCGAAGTACCTGTTTCCCTCTCAAATCCAGTACTTAGATATCAAGGGTGCAGTTTGCAAAAGTGCTCAGAAAATATAAAAACGTCGAGTAGTGGAACTAAACAATAATGATGTAAACAGCAAATTGTAAATTTGACACTGAAATATATGGTTAACAACACAAATCAAGGATATGCACTTGATGGATATTCTTAACTAAAGACCCACGCCTGCAATGATTTATGCACGTTTAACTTTACACACTACAAGTGACCCCATTGACTTGAACTAAATGTCCATATTACTCCCCCATTCCCTCTCTCCCTTCCTGTCCCCCCCATTTTTTGATTAAATATAGTGCTGGTTACAATTTTAACAAAATTCCAAATAAAAAAAAATCACAAATTATTTCCCCTTTTCCCCCCAAGCTTTATATTTTAAATTGGGCCCTGTTAAGGGGTACTGGATTCTACTGCACCAGACAGGATACAATCCTAGGCTGGGGTGAACAACCTGCTGTCCTGCTCCCTGATGAAGGTCAAAAGTGGAGTATGCAAAGTTACCCCTGGTGCAGAGACTTGCACAAGTGAGCTAGCTACCTGGTGGTCACCCTCAAAGCACTCTGACATAATGAGCTAGTGAGTAGGGAGCAAAAAGACAAATCATTTCCTAATGTTAACCAAATTAGTTCACCCATCCATAGGATAAATCACATACTTTTATGATATTGTATTCCTAGATGCCTTAAAGTAAAGTCTCTCCTATAGTCACTCTGAGAAAGAAATATTTAAGAATATATTGTATCATAAATCGTAACCATGGAAGAGACCATAAGGAACACTTGTTAATGCACTGTATCTAGTGCTCCTCTCTCCAAGCAGATGGGAGAGTCACATGTGGAGGGGCTGCTCCAGGCCAGTATTGTGCTACTTATGTTTTCCATAAACTGTAATATGAATAGTCTCTATTCTCTCATCAGTGCATGTGCAAAACTCATATTCAATAGGCTCATAGGTCCCAAAGCCAGAAGGGACCATTGTGATCATCTAGTTCAGGGATCGGCAACCTTTGGCACATGGCCCGTCAGGGAAATACGCCGGTTCGTTTATCTGCAATGTCCACAGGTTCAGGCAATCGCAGCTCCCACTGGCCGTGGTTTGCTGTTCCAGGCCAATGGGGGCTGCGGGAAGCAGCGTGGGCTGAGGGATGTGCTGGCCATTGCTTCCCGCAGCCCCCATTGGCTGGAACGGCGAACC